AGGGGCCGGAGAGGTTGGGGGGAGGCTGGGGAAGGCGGGACGGGGACCGTGTGGGGGAGGTGGAACACTGGGGTTCGGTCCGGTGGATGTACTTGCACTTTCGGCCTCTCCGGGCTCCCACTGCTCGCTAGGCCTATCTGCTGTGGTCTTTTCGAAGCCTGGCTGACCGGGAGGTGGGACAGCGTCGCTTAGTGTCGCTGGTATCATCTGCTGAGGTATGTCTCGGCCTCGCCTCGTGGTACGGCTGTAGCGAGGTTCCTGAGGGGCCTGGCTAGGAAGGGTGGTGCTGTCCCGTTTCCCTCTTATCCAGAGCAACACTCAGGAGCCTTCTCCTGGATTTGCTTTCCGGTCAGTATAGGAGAGGCCAAAAAAACGACAAGCCCCCAGAGTTGGGCAGACTTTCCTGTAGCTGGCTGTGGACTAGGAGCCTTGCTTACTCATCGGGTTAGTCGTGGTATGAAAACCAGTGGAAAACTTTGGTAACTTTCTTACCACTAATGAATCGTTTGCAAAGTTATATGACATCAGAACTCCATTGGACAGTGCAGCACAGTTCATGTAATCAGAGCAGTAGCAATGCTGTGGATTTTCCTGAGTGTATGAGGCTTTGTGAATATAAGCATTTAACTAAGATCTTTGCTAATTGCTTTCAAAGAAGGAGGGAATAGGGCATGTGCATTGCAAGGTGGAAGTAGCTCTGTATTTTCTATATGTGACATTTTATTCCAGGTACATCATCCTTAAACATCACTTCATAGTGCAGCTATATATAAACGTTGATAAACTGATAGAGAATCGATTGTTATCACCTCTATATAACTTTTGATAAACATTAGACAGTAAGCAGGATAGTAGTTGAGATCTGTAACTACTTATGCAACAGAGTTAAATAATTAATCTGTGTTAATAAAATCTCTAACTTTATTGGTAGGTCTACCCAAATAAAATATTGTTCTTCGTAATTAGTAGGGGGGACTGTTTTGTGACATGACCTTAATATCAAGAAGTATATAGAACTTAACGAATTCTGGAATGTGTTGTAACTAATGTGCACGGCCTGGAAAGTGAAATTTATCTGTCCATTTTCGATTGGCAAAACAAAAGAGACATAAAGAAAATAAGTGCTTAAAAGAAAGTACGTTTTGAAAGGGATTGTGAAATAGGGATGGCAGGGCAGAGGTCAGGCATTTAACATGCTAGTTAACAGTAGCAATGCTAAGATGCTCACAGCATGTAAAACAGGTTATTTTCTAAAAAGTAAATTCAGTAATTGATGATAGTGTCTAAACAGACTTACAATGTCTTTGTAATAACCTTATAAGTGTTAAATGCTGCTTATAGTGTAGTTTCATTTGTATTTGCTTTTCATTTACATTATATTTTATTCTTTTAGTTGCATTTCATTCAGGTTCAAGGGTGTCACTAAATTGTCTACATTGTTTTAAAAAAATCGTGAAACTGAAGTACTGATTTTTTTTTCTTAAATATGCTTTAGAAATCTAGATAAAACTAGGGGCAGTGTAGCACAGAACTGCATTACAGAAATCCTAACATAAAACTGTAGAAAAAGGATAACTTGGGTGTAATTCATTATCAAGAGTAATACGAGTTGAGAAGGTTAGGCAGAGCAGAAAACTTTAAAGGAATAGCTTGTTCTTGCGCTCTAATGAGCTTGGGAGTTATAAAAGAGGGTTTGGCTCTTAATGAAGCACGTAAACTGCTCTCTTTAGCTCTTTTCAGTGTTTAATAGTAGAAGCAGACTGAGTAGCTGTAAGAGAATGCAGCAGGTGATTATACAAGCATGATGCAGGTATGGGGAAATGAAGTAAAATAAAAACAATCTCATGTGTGAGATGAAGACGTAAATCTGTATCTGTAAAGCACAAACAGGAAGAAAGCTCCAAAAGTGTGGAAGAACGTACATGTGTGTAGATCTTAGTGTCCAACTGGCAAAGTTTCAGGTTAGTGAACTGGTGAGAGAAAATATGTGGAAACGCCTTGGAAACGCTTGTACTAAAAATATGTCTGGTACCATGCAGGAAGAAAAGGGTAAGAACTGTCCGTTTGGTAACTAAGTACACTGATCAAAATACACTTTGTTTCAACTGCTGCTTCTTAACACTTGATACCATGCAGGCTGCTAGCTGTATAAATGCTTAAGAGGGCGTGGGTACATTCATCTTACGAGCTTTCTACTCTTGCCTCACAAGATTCATTTTAGCCTCCTGAGTTACCTATTAGAAATGTTTTTTTTTTTTCCATTTTTGGTACTTGGGTCTTACTTTTCTTTAGAGGGTATGGACTTTTTATTTAAAGGTTTAATGTTTTTTATACCTGGTATTCAAAGGTTTTGAACTCTGCATGACAAATGTTTGGGCCACATAGTGTCTATAAGTATTCTGACTTTAATGGTACTTGGACTTTAAGGTTATTTTATTCAACTTTCAGGAAAGTGATACCATTCATCTCTTTGTTTTACTTATGGTACACTCAAATCAGTGTGATCCAGTGAGGAGGACTTGTTACTTCTGGCATGTTCAGGGCCTGGTCATACACCCTGCTGGTTCGGATATAGCCAGCATTCTGTCTTTGAACATTCACATTTCTATACTCTGTGTTTTAAATAGGATATGCACAGGCCTTGGAAAAAAGTTTGATCTGTTCTGGTAGGAAGAGCTCACCCTGTCCTTCATAAAAATCATGAATGATCGTGTGGCTACGTGGAACTGGTTTTTCATATGAATTATGTATGCCACAGCTTTTCCCCTGTGTTCTAGTATCAGTTTGTTTCAAAATGTAACTTTTTGACAAATAAGTTGCTGACAAAAACTGTTACTTCTAATTATTATTGAAGCCGCTTGTCTTCTATAGAAGACTTCTTTTTTGAGTTCAGACATGGAGAGTTTCATTTGTAAACCTGTATATGCAATGGTATTGATCAGATGAATTCTTTCATATCAACAACATAGTAGGTGTTTTTATTTATAGTACAATCTAATGTGAAAATAAGCTAAGCTCAGCCCATTGTAAAGAAAAATGTGCTCGACTTGACTGAACTCTGTACTCCAAGTGAGTGTTTCACTCTTTATCATGTTCACCTTAGGACAGTAAAATGACCTTCTGAAGCCGTCTTCCTGCACCTGACAGTCGATCTCTAGTACAGATGTGTTTTCAGGCTTATTGTTGCACAAGCTAATCAGTGAATTGGTCTTCCAGTATTGAGTGGGTTTTTGCAACCTGCAGTCAATTTAGAACTGCTGTGTTTATGGTCCTAGAACTTAAGGATTAGTTTAAAGCTAGTTCACATATGCCAGCATGAACTGTTTGATACAGTGAAAGGTGTTTTATATTTACTTGAACAGCTCTGTGGGAGAACATACAGTTGAGGATAGCTGTAAACCAAAGATGAACACTGAAGCATGCTTGTGCTGCATGTGAAATGTGAATTTTCAGTATTTTCATTTACGTATTCTGTGATTATGAATCTAGGGGAATGGAGTTTGACACTTGTGAAACAATGTGCTTACATGTCTGTCACTGAGCGACTCCTGAAACATACAGGTCTTCCTCTTCCAGCTTAAAGGTAAAACTGTAAGTTGTTGTGTAACGTGAAATAACTTGAAGTATATTTCCTTTTCTCCAGGAACCAGAGAAATGGCCACTACGCAATCTGTCTTCACATTTGCTCTCTGCATTTTGATGATAACTGAATTAATACTGGCTACAGAGAGCTATTATGATATTTTAGGAGTTCCAAAAAATGCATCAGACCGCCAGATCAAGAAGGCATTTCACAAGCTGGCTATGAAATACCACCCAGACAAAAATAAGAGTCCTGGTGCAGAAGCAAAATTTAGAGAAATTGCTGAAGGTAATATATGCTAACCTTAGTCTTAATAATTTGATACATGGCTTATATCTGTGAGAAAATGTAGTAATATAAGTATACTCTGTTTTTACTGAGTAAGAGATAATTTTTTTTTTTCTTAATTCTACTTCTGTGCTGTCAAATGTCCAATACCAATATGTGACTTGTTTCTGTGTCCTTGCACCTGGGCAGGTCTTCGACACAGTTTGTGCACTCCTGCTTATTAGGCTTTTTGGTTCATGCCTCTTGTCACAAAAAATATTTGGCAGTAGGACGACTTTAGCCCTAGGAGGTTAATTCTTATCTTTTGATCTGTCTGGTAAGGTCTAGCTCAGGATTACTAAGGCTTTAGGGGGACCTGACAGCACCTTCCAGTAACTATGGGGAGATGATCAAAAAACCACAGTAAGATGCTTTAGTGGTTCATGGTGGGAGTACAAGAGTCAACAGGTGCAAGAGGTCCAGAGTGGTTATAAGGATAAAGTTTTTCACTTTGAGGATAGGCCAGTGTTGGAACAGGTTCCTTAAAGAGGTTGTGCAGTCCCCAACCTTAGAGATTTTTCAGGAATGAGTGTAGAAAGCCCTGAGTTAACCTAGTCTGTTTCATGACTACCCTACTTTGAGCAGGAGTTTGGAGTAGAGGCTGTCTGAGGTCACTTCAAACCTGAATTCTTCTGTGATCCTGGGAAGACACCATTCATAACTGTTGTGTGATAAAATATAACCGTGGAAGTGAATAGTCGAGAACAGAAAAAGACTTGCTGAAAAATAGGGTGTTCCCACTTCTGCTCCCCATAGACTTGATTATAATAGCAATCTATTTGTGTAGTTTTCCTAACTAAGCTAATAAGAGATTTCTGGGTTTTACCTTCTTGTCTGCAGAAGGGTTCTTCTGAAAGAAATGTAGTTATTAATATAAGGAAAAGGGAGGGACACTCTTGTTAGATCCTGGATTTGTTAGCACCTATTACAGGAGGAATTGGGAACTCTCAAATAAGTGTTGAAGTATATAAAATAGTTGCAAGCCTTTAACAGGTAAGAAAATGGAAGTGTTTAAAATACTTAATGTAATCAGAATGGGTATATTGTCTGTCAGAGTTTCTGCCTTGGAACACCAGTACCTGTAGTTCAGGACCAAAGATTGGATGAAATTCTAATTTCCATTTCAGGTATATCCAATCACAAAATCTAGGTTTATTGTTAAACTTCTGAAAAAATGAGAATTTGGACATAAGGGAAACTCGCTTGATTTTATCTCCTTGATGTTTATGTTGTAACTGCAGCATAGCTAGAACTTGCTGGCTGGATAGCAGGTAGCTTTGCAGACATTGGACTGTGTTTCTGTGATAGGAATGCAGTAGGCAATTCATTTTGTTAGGTAGAGCTCTTATCTTCTCTCCTTCAGTCTTTCTGATTGCCACGTCACTGCTATTTTCTTTAGAATCATAGAATCATTAAGGTTGGAAAAGACCTCTAAGATCATCAGGTTCAACCGTCAGCCCAACACCACCATGCCTGCTAAACCATGTGCTGAAGTGCCACATCTTCACGTTTTTTGAACACCTCCAGGAATGGTGACTCCACCACTTCCCTGGGCAGCCTATTCCAATGCTTGACCACTCTTTCAGTAAATAAATTTTTCTTAATATCCAATCTAAACCTCCCCTGATGCAACTTGAGGTCTTTGCCTCTCATCCTGTTGCTAGTTACTTGGGAGATGAGACCAATACCCACCTCACTACAACCCCCTTTCAGGTAGTTGTAGAGAGCAATAAGGTCTGCCCTCAGCCTCCTCTTCTCCAGAATAAACAATCCCAGTTCCCTCAGCTGCTTCTCATAAGACTTGTTCTCCAGACCCTTCACCACCTTTGTTGCCCTCTCTGGACACACTCCAGCAACTCAGTGTCATTCTTGTAGTGAGGTGCCTAAAACTCAACACAGTACTCGAGGTGCGGCCTCACCAGTGCCGAGTACAGGGGCACGATCACCTCCCTACTCCTGGTGGCCACACTGTTCCTGATACAAGCCAGGATGCTGTTGGCCGCCTTTGCCACCTGGGGACCTTCAGCTGCCTGTCGACCAACACCCCAAGGTCCTTTTCTGCCAGGCAGCTTTCCAGCCACTCCTCCCCAAGCCTGTAGCGTTGCGTGGGGTTGTTGTGACCCAAGTGCAGGACGCAGCATTTGGCCTTGTTGAACCTCATACAGTTGGGCTTGGCCCATGGATCCCGTCTGTCCAATATAAATTCTTACTTCCTTTCAAATATAAACACTAATCTTTATTGCTAGTTAAACTATATTGTATTATGTGAATTTAAAATTTTGAGGGTATAGTTTGTCCTAATAGTATAGCTATGTATATTATTAGAAATAAATATTTATTTTGAAACAGCTTATTTTGGTTTGGAGGAAGCTGAACAAATGTTGAGCTTGATCAGGAGTGTGTGTTGAATGAGTCTGGCTTGAAATTTGTCCTATTGAGGGAGTGGAAGGAAGCTGTTCTTTGTATTTGTGTATAGTTTGTTTTTTTTTTTCCAATGAGAATGTAAATAAACTTTTAAAACTTTTTTTTTAAATGGAAATAGCATATGAAACATTATCGGATGAGAATAAACGAAGAGACTATGATCAGCTTGGCCGTCATGGAGGACAGGGAAATAATGGAAACCCATTCCATCAGTCATTTAATTTCAACTTTGATGATCTGTTCAAAGACTTTGATCTCTTTAGTCAAAACTCACGGTCAAAAAAGCACTTTGAAAATCACTTCCGAAGTCATCGGGAAGCTCACAATCGGCAAAGACGTTCTTTCCAAGAGTTCTCCTTTGGAGGTGGACTGTTTGATGACGTGTTTGAAAATATGGAAAAAATGTTTTCGTTTAGTGACTTTGAAAATGCACACCGACATGCAGTGCGAACGGATTCCAGGTTTCATGGATCCAGCAAGCACTGTAGGACTGTCACTCAGAGACGAGGAAACATGGTTACCACGTATACAGACTGTTCTGGACAATAATGTTTCCTTTCTTTTAATCTCTTTTCTTCTTTTTTCAACATCTTCGTAATCCTTCTTGGTTTTGTGCTAACATGGAAAAAATTATTTGAACTGTTTGTTCTAAAAACACTTAACTGCTATAAAGAAATAGTAAATGAAACTAATCTTCAGAATAGAAACAACACACATTTGGGAAGTAAATGTCTTGGTAACTGCTTAGAGTGGGAAAAAATAATTTGAAGTGATAGAAAAAATTGTATGTATTTCAGTTTAGTAAACACTTTCCTTATATTTGAACTTCAACACAAGATCTATATTTTTCATTTCAGAAATGTAATATAATTTTTTCATTAGGACTGTTTGAGTTACTGGTGCATGAATTGCAGCAGAGAAGATACTTTAATTTTGAAGTGCTGCTTTTTTTTAATCACATCTTTCCAAGTTTTCACTTGCAGTTTTTACCTGACAGGGACTTATTGTGCAAATGAGATAATTTACACAAAATAACAGCAGATATACAACTTACCTGGTCTTTGTCACTCTGTCCAGCATTGTGAATGTGTTAATAATAAAATACTTTTTCAAGCTGGAAAATAACAAGAGGGAGCATGTTAAGATTGTGCCTCACCTAGGAGAGTGATGTAGGAATTAATTTTATTTCCAAACAGCCTTTCATTGCTCTGAAAATATTTTAGGATTTGAATAACCCTTGACTTATTTAAGGGCTGTTCATGTATGTAAGTTTGGGTGCACACAAGGTCTTTTTTTTCTTCCAAAATACAAGTATCTCTCTAACAAGGTTTGGAAGAGCATACCGAAAACACTCTTGTTTCACGCTTGTTATATTATCACGTGTGCAGTGTGGTTTCCGTAACTCGGTTTATTGAACTTAAATACTCCTCTGTGCTCTTGTGAACAAAATAAGCTTGCCTACAGATTCCTAGTGTTTCTGGAAGGGTCTAATTAAAAAATACGTTTTGTTTAGATTGACAGATTTATTACTTGTCATCAGGAGTTTTTCAGCGCTGTGATTTGAAAGGTAAATTCTTAAACACAGTGTGATACTGAAAATTACAATTGTTGCATTCATCTAATGCCTTCTGGTACTGGAATGTGCTAATAAAGACAGTACTAATGAGTATTAATTTCAGCACCATGGAAATCCATAACCAGTCTAAACTACTTCAAACTAAAAAAAAAGAAAAAAAAAACCAAACACCAACCCTGAATATTTTAACTGATGTCAATCCATAAGTTCTGTTTTTTCTTAACTAGTAATACAGGTTTAGTGTATTGAATTTGTTCCCCTTAAGAAGATTGCTGTCACCCACATATGCTGTCCCTTGAGAATTGTGAGATAAGAATTTACCTTTCAGATTGATTGCATGAGCAAAACGAGCATTTTAAACAGCAGTGTTCTAAATAGGCTTTGAGTTCTTGAAATCTTTCTTGAGATTGAACCCTTTGCTTCTCAGATGGATATTGAAAGCTGCCTATTTGCTGAGTAACTTTAACCTTCCCCTCAAGGGTACGTATTGTTGCTTTTTTTTTTTCATTCACTAAATACTTGGAATGGATTGTTGTATTATATTAAGTGCTTTTCCTTTTTCATGTTGCTCTTTATTTATTAATAGACTAATACCTCATATATGGTCTTTATAAAAAGCCAGTAATTTGTGCAACATTATCGGAATGTGCAATATTCTTTTAATAGGATAAGTGCTGGAGTGAGTGTGTTTGTGTTATTTCCACCCTTTTTCTGTGTAACTAGAGATCTTTAGTTTCTTCTGTATAATTAATATATTAGTCAACCAAAAGTTTTAATTTATGTAGATTTCCCCATTTTTTTCTTTACAATACTTCATCAGTCCTGTGCATGAATCAAATCTGCCTGATTCATATCATGTGGGCATCCAAGTGAACAAATTATTAACTTGAAGTTCTGCATTGCTTTCTTTCACAAATGTCAAGTTTTTTTAGAGGGCATTTCTGTATGCATTTGAGGAGAATTACTCACACTGATAAGATTTTGGAAGGATGTAGCCTTTAGTATTAAATACAAGATAGTATTAATGAATGTCCTTTAGGGATGATGACTGCTGGAACTTAGAGGTGGGAGGCAGCTCTAGAAGCAGGATGCAAAGTTAAAATGTTAATGCCTTTCTTAGTCTAGTGAATATTTTCTTAATTTAAATAAACAAAAATTTGGAAACGGCAGAATGAGCAGTTCCTAGGTGTGGGAGAAGGAATATTTAAAGTTCCTACTGCAACCAAACCGTTGACTTCTCCGAAGGTAGTTTTCTCCGGTTATGAACTTTGAGTCCATTCTGTAATCCTGAATTAGAGGAACAGAAGATAAAATGAGCACTGTAAGTTGTAGTAAACACAGCCACGCACAAAATTTGTCTGGTTTAAGTGACTGTATGAGTTCACCTTCTTTCAGGATAAGTTTTTAAGAGAAAATCAAAGGTCCTTGGCTGCTTCTAGGTTAGCTTCCCCTCTTTAAGGATGCTCCAGACTTTATTCGTACAAAGTGTATTTGTTTTCCTCAACTCTTTAAAGTCAAAGTATGAAGTATTATCAAAGTATGATAATAAAATGATACGGTTACTAGTTTTCTAGCTGATAGAACCTTAAAAAGACTTCTGCCTAGTCTATTTTTATCTGCTTCCATATTAGTTAATTACTTGTCAAACAAATACTTCCTATTATTCCTATGGCTTCTCAAAGTGACCTTTCTGCTTGTTTTGGGTGTTGATCCAAAGGAGAGCTTGCCCACTCGCCGAGGCTGGTGTATTGCTATCCATGTGACTTTCTATGATGGGTATGCTTATGATAGACTTTAGCTGAAGAAATTCAGGCAGGTTTTCCTCAGCCAGCAGCCTTCAGTTCCATGGCTGTCAGAACACAGGCCCGCAAAACATTTTGTGCTACTCACTTATTCAGAGCTCTTGCACATTCTTTTCCTATTTATAGTGTTTGCTTCATGGCAGGCTCTCCAGCGGAAGTCCTGATATAACCTTATGACACCTCTGACTTCAGGAGTTTCTTAAGTGCCATCTTTGATCTTCATATATTTTGAAAAGACCTAGTAAAACCTCTTTTTTTATTGTGTGAGGGTGAAAAATACAATTGTTAACGATTTTTTGAAAGGCATTTATGCATATGTAACTCCAGATGGTTGAGCTTCTAAAACTTTACCAAAAAATAGTGGGTTTTTTTCTTATTTGTTTTTCCCATTACACTTTTGAAACACAGTATCTAGCAGAGATGAAAGTACTGTAAACTTAATTAGGGTGCCATTACATTAAACGTGTGAAAATTGTTTGTGTGTGAAGTCTGTCTCTTTTTTTCTGTCCTTCAAGATGTAGATGGAAGCTGCATTCAAGTGGGTTGTGAGGAACTTGTGTTTTATGGAACATTTGGACCACTACATTTTCCTTGAATGGAATGATGGGCTTGGCGGGGAGAAGGGAACAGGGCTGAAAAAAATGGACTTAACTTTACCTGGTCGGTTTTTCAGAGATGTTGAGAACGGTTTGGAGTTAGGCACTATGCCTGTAAACCAGGTAGACAAAAAAGCCTGTGCCAAGGGGCCTTTTTCTGAGAAGCAAAAGTCCTCCACCTTGAAGTGTTCTGTCTCTGCCTGCTGCCTCTGCTGTGAGCACACTGCGGAGTTGTGGGCGAGCAGCATGACCGGCACTCATCGGCCTGGATTGCCACTGAAAAGTGCAGGTTCTGAAGCCAAGGTTAGGATTCTGTTGTGCTGACTCAAAAGTTGACTCTGACTGTGCTTGCAAGTTCTTGGTTTTTGGGGCCTAATCCTTAGAAGGTGGAGGGTGGAAGTTTTGGGATTTGGTATGTCTCATTGGGCCATTTCTCATTAGAACCATCTTGCCTGGAACCTAAGCAAATCTGCCATCTTAACAGTGCAGAGCCAAATATTGAGGACTAAATGTGTTGGAGACAATGGACAATCTGTGTTACGTTTTTGTGCTGAGGGGTGTTGCTTTTTTTTAGTGATTTGTAAATGGGAAACTCCCATCAGGAGTGTCTGTTGGTCATGAAACAAAAGCCTTTTGTAAAGTCGCTTGACTGTGCCATGTATGGGGCTCATTTCAGAATAAAATGCCGTTCATTTGGCTCTGGTGGCTGACGTGGCTGAGCCTGACAGGTCTGCGCTCCGGCAGCGATTCATGCAGCCGTGCTGGTGACTTGTGTAGTGCGGGCACCTGTTTCTGTGGGGACTGGACAGAGACCAGCTTTGCAGATGCCACTTGGCAGTTGTGATATCAACTGACTGTCAGTTACTCCTAGCATAAGGCTGAATCACTTCTAGGTTAAGGCTGTAACTCATCCTTGATTGCAGTTTGTTTAAAAAAGAAAGAAAAAACAAACAAACAAAAAAACCAAACCAAAAAACCCAAACAAACCTGCTTTGAAGCAGTGTATTCCAAAGCTTAGGCACAGAGGAAACCAACTTTTTATATGGGGCATGTTACCTCTTAAGCAGTGGTGTTTGATTTAAGAGCATTTATTTCAAGAACTATGGTAACACTGAAATGACCGTTACTGCTTGTGTTGTTCCTGCTGTGGCTGGAGTTGCATCCAGAGTTGCTGTGGATGAGCTCAGGTCATTGGGGTTGGCTGCAGTGTTCTACCAAGACTTTGAGACACTAACTGGATGTCCTGGTTTTGTCTGGGATGGAGTTAATTTTCTTCCCAGTAGCTGCTGTGTTTTAGATTTAGTGTGAGAAGGATCTTGATAACACTGATGTTTTTAGTTGCTGCTAAGAATTCAAGGACTTTCTCTGGTTTCTCGTATTCAGCTAACGAGCAGGTGTGTAGGAGCTGGGAGGGGGTGCAGCCAGGCAGCCAGCCCAAGCTGGCCAGTGGAAAGATTCCATACCATAGACAGCACGCTCAGGTTATGAATGGGGGTTGGCCAGGGAGCAGGAATCTTTCTTCCTCTTTTCCGTGAGTTCAAATCTCCTCTTTTCCAGGAGTTCGAGCTTTTCTGGGAGTTTGGTCTTTTTCAGGAATTTTGCAAAATTTGCAAATTCCAGGTTCTGTGATTGCTGCTTGGGGACTGACACTGAATTGTTGATCAGGTGGTGAGAAAATTGTATTGTATATAGTTTGTTTTGCATATTCATTATTATCATTATTAGTATTAGTATTTCCTTTTAGTCTTGTTAAACTGTCTTTATTGCAACCCACGAGTT